AAAGCAGTCAATACAATAATATTGCATACGATATATTTTGTTATATATATATATATATAATTTATATATCAGACAAGTTATATTGGGGTACTCTCAAAACCAAATGTCAGTTAACTGAATAAGGAATGCAGCCTTAACAAATTAAAGTAAAGTTATGGTGAAAAGGTGAACATAAAACAGACATCTTCACTTTTCTTGCTTTATTGTTATAATAAGATCAATCATCATTTTACAAGTAAGTTATGATGCCAGTGAAATGATTTGCTTGTAAAATGTGTTTAATACGCAAGAAAAGGATAACATCCTTTTTTATTTGGACTAGAACGCAATATAAAGAAAAAAGAAATATTGCAACGGATTACTTTTTGTTGGTGTCTTATATATGGTAGATATTCACAAGTATTTTCAACTTTCGAAATAAAATTGGTGTCAAGACTATTTGAAGCAAAAGCAGAAAACTGAACGATATCAAATATCAAAGTACTGACGGTCTGTTTACTCTGATGATTCCAATCCCCCCAAAAAATAAATTCCCATTATAGCTAAGAACTTAATTTAAAGCAGGATTATAATTGTTGCCGTTTCGCAACGTTCAGTGTCAAATATTTTATGCATTTTCATAACGAGAACAAAATGAAACATGAAATTATTCATGATAGTTTTGCGGGAAAGGGGGTTGCGACAGCAAGGAATGGTTTGAAAAAAAAGATTGTTAATAAAAAGGGTTATGATGGGTAGGGTGAGAAATTCTGCTTTGCTAGAAGTCATCTAAAGATTCCTACAATAACTAGCTGTCATGGTTCTGTATAGTGAGTGGTACTTTCCTATTATGAGTATCTTAAGTATGGCAATGATCACCAGTTACCTCTCTTAAAAATGTTGTTTAAAGTAAGGTTAAGACCTTCAGTAAAGTCTGACTGTCTTTATGACAAACGAGATGATTTCAACTTCCCAAATGTAATCTTCAAATTGTCCAGCAGTTATATACCCTCTGTCCCATCATATGGCGTAAATATATCTCAAACTATACTTTACACTTCGTCATTTTCACACTATACGGAATTCATTAACGTATAAAAAGAGATGTGTTATTTCATTAGGGGCATCCTATAATTTATTTTAGTAAATAAGTATATAACCTACAAAAAATCTTAAATTATATAGCTGCATTCACCTTTTAATGACCATAGAAACAGATAATACATGTAACAATCCAGATATACTATCTTGTTCCTTTTTATCTTTTTTAATAAAAAGTTTTATTTCTGTCGTTTAAAATCAACTTGAAATCCACTGTTCATAACACGACATCATTGTTATAGTATTGAGAGACACTCCTTTTATCGATAATGTAACTGTTGGTCTGTATTTTATATCAAATCACATGTTCATCCGCATGCATAATAAAACACGTTTTCATTTTATATTATGCATCGCTATCTTCTAAATGAATATTTTTTTTACTAATGCAATTTTACATAATTGGAGTTTCATGTACTTAAAAGAGAGACGAAAGAGACGAAAGATACTAAAGGGACGTTCAAACTCATAAGTCGAAAATAAACTGACAGCGCCATGGCTATTAAAGAAAAAGACAAACAACAGTACACAAAACACATTAAATGAATTTACGCGGAACCTCAAATTGGAGTGGTTGACAATGATTAAATGTTTTATTAACGATTGTTCACATTCTAATAATTGTAGATCAGACTTAATGATTGATTCATTGTTGAGTTTTAATGCCACTTTCAGCATTATGGCTATATCATGGCGATCAGTATTCATTGGTAGAAGAAAGTCGGAGTATCCGGAGAGAATTAACGACATCCTGCAGAAAAACTGGCAAACATAGTAAATTAAGATCAGAGTCGTACGCATCTGCCAGGATCGTGGTTCGAATTCACAACAACAGTGTTCAAACTCATTGAATTAAAACATTGGCGTTAAAAATACATTTGAGGCTCCCCTTGTAATGAGTGAATTGCAACGGGCTATTGAATTTCTATTTTCAAAATTAATGCAGATAGAAAGTGCATAAAACTTTGTGTTTTAAACTCATTCTTCAATTTTGTAAGAAAATATTGAGGTAACGTGTTATACTTTTAATTATCCCATTAGAAATTGATGCAACAGTGTTTGTTTCTAAAATAGATTTCTAAATAGTAAACAAATAACTCCAAGGAAAATTCAAAACGAAAAGTCCTTTATCAAAAGGTAAAATTCAAAAGCTCAAACACATCAAACGAATGGAAAACAACTGTCATATTCCTGACTTGGTACTAAATGTATCTTCCCTTATGTACATATTTAGGTTCAACTAATTGCAAGATGATAAAAGAAATTAAACAAACGTCTTAAAAAGAGTTTTCAGGATACCAATTTTAGCATTACAATTTATATTTAAAAAACAAACATATGCCCATAATGAAGTCCTAAACCAGGAGGCAGATTGTAATAAAAATCCAAATTCAAATCTTTTTGGAATCTTATATATGAAGATAAAGTTAATACATCAAGATACTAACACCGGTTGCATCGAACATTTAAATGATAAAATAGAGTATGAGTATAAAAAGGTTTCGTTTCAAGTGCTTTTTTTGGATTTACGTTCACTTTGAACGCTCAAATCAAATATTTGAGAGGCAAGTATGTATAATTTCTTGAATACTTGAGGAGCTATATGAAAAAGGAACTAAACAGAATAACAAAATCAACCCAGAGGGAGTTATTATCCATCTCTGTACTAACATTATTTTTCACATATCTTCAAAAATCTCGATTGCTAAAAGGTTTCTATTTGTACGATATTTTCAAATTATACAATTTTCAAATCTGAAAACCAAATTAGAATCCAAGACAACGTATAGCTAATACATTTTTATAATTGCTTTAAGTTTAACTAAAATTTATGTTTGCTGTTCAACACAACACAATAAAGAGGCGAAAGTTACCAATGGGACAACCTAAACCACATAAGTCGAAAAGAAACTGAAAACGTCATGGTGAACATCAACGAAAGACGAAGAAAAGACAATTAATTCTGTCAAACACTACATTAAAAACACGAACACTACCAAAACACTTGGAGTGATCTCAAGGGCAAGTAGATCCTTGATTACAATCTAGAAAAAAATTATTGAATTTAAAAGTACATATATCATTTGTTAATGATTAAGTGCAACTCATGAGGATGCACTTCATCAATACTTTCAATTTTCCGGGATAGGACTGTTCATAACACGTTGTTATGGTACTAAGAGACTCTCCTTTTATCGATAATGTAACTGCTGGCCTATATTTTACATCAAATCACATGTTCATCCGCATGCATAATAAAACACGTTTGCATTTAATGTAATGCATTGCTATCTTTAAAATTTTTTTTTTTACTGATGCAATTTTACATGAGTGCAGTTTCATGCACTTGGATGTACTCGACTTTACGCGGAACTTCAAATTTGAATGGCTGACAATGATTAACTGTTAACGATTGTTGAAATTCTAATAATTCTAAATAAGACTTAATTATTGATTGATTTTTGGGGTTTATTGCCACTTTCAGGCTTTCAGCATTATTGCTATATCATGGCGATCAGTATTCATTGTTAGAAGAAAGTCGGAGTATCCAAAGAGAATCAACGACCTCCTGCAGAAAGACCGACAAACATAGTCAATTAAGATCGGAGTCGTAAGCACCTGGCACGAGCGAGTTTCGAACTCTCAATATCAATGTTCATACTCATTAAATCAAATGAGACAACCCTAAAACATTGGCATTTAAAATATTTTGGAGGCTCTCCTTGTAATGAGTGGGCCATTGCATTACTTATATTTTCAATATTAATGCAGATAGAACGTCCGTAAAAAAAATTGTGTTTTAAACTCTTTTTCAATTTTGTAAGAAAATATTGAGGTAACGTGCTACACTTTTGATTGTCCCATTAGAAATTTATGCAACAGCTGTTTGTTTCTGAAATCTATTATCAAAAAAGTAAAATAACAAAAATACCGAACTCAAGGAAAATTCAAAACGGAAAGTCCTTTATCGAAAGGCAAGATCAATAGGTCAAACACATCAAACGAATGGAAACAACTGTCATAATCCTGTCTTGGTACTAAAAGTGGAATTCATGAGGATGCACTTCAACAACACTTTCATTTTCCGGGATAGGAATTTTAGAAAACGTTTATAACTTCATATATGTGCGTTACATGTGTATTAGGTACAGCCTCAACAGAAAGCCATAGATAAAAAATCCCATCTTTTTCTCTATATCCTCTCTCAGAGTGTATTCTTTTTTATTGTCTTCTTTTCATAATCTAAATAAGTTAGGAGTGCTGAATTATACCACCGATCTGGAGTACCTAGAGTAACCCACTAACATGGGGTATCTAGGACGGTAAACAACCTACATGAATAGTCTGATGAAAATCACCGATATGGAGTAATTGAGGCAAAGAACCTACTTAGAGTGCTTCGGTAAAATAACTGATCTATAACCGTTTCTGTTATTTAACCACAGATAACAAATATATCAAAAAAGTCCCCTACCTAAGTTACAATAGGCTAAAGTGTTAATAAGAAATCGTTTTCCATAACTTACGAATTCAGATGACGAGAACATGAGATACGGTTATGTTGGCAGAAAATCTGAAACATTGTGAATCCTTTTTTATTAACCAGAAAGGTCAACATAATTGTTCATATTAATAAAGCGACTCTTATGAAAAGAGTTGTGTAACTTATTCTATTTAATATTTTTATGGAATATATCTATATCATATTTAGTGTTTACAGGATTTTTTTTAAGGAATTTAGTTTGTAAAAAAGAGGCAAGCTTTAATATAATGCATGTTAACTCTTAAACATATTTCTTAAACAGTTAAAATTTCACATACACTACGAAAAAATCTTTATAAGATGTCATACTTATCTTGATGTAAAAGCAACATTTAACAGTTATTTACAAATAAACATGATTGTTAAATGTACTTACGTATACATACTTATCTCTTACGTTCACAGATCACACAATGATATAAATTTCCCATTTCCATGTATAGATACAATTAATAGGAAATGAATCGGCTAAGAGCCTAACGATAAATAGATTGTAACCTCAGAATACTCGTATATTTACTTGTACGCCTACTTGTCTTAATGACTTAATATTTTTTTTTCTGCAATTTTTCCATATTTTGTATTTGTATTTGTCTTTGTTGATTTGTTTATTCAGGCTAAAGCTATAAACAGATTATTTCATAAAACTTTACAAAACTCAGTCAATGATAATGGTTAAATACAAATGAAAATATCACTTTATTGATTGTATGTGTCCGAATAGCCTTTCTCTATTCACCTTTAGCAGGAACGCTAAAAAAGTAAACTATTTGAAAGCCAATATTGTATAAGTACCTGTGCAAGGCTATATGACAAATAGGAACCTAAAAATAATAGACAAATACATCTAAGGTCACCTTTTTATGAGGATGTTGGAACTTTAGTTTCTTAAATTGTCAATTCAAAGGATATTCTTAGGTTTCAAAAGATTAGAAGAAATATTTGGTTATCAGAAAATAGCAAAGACTTCCAAAAATATACAAAGCCATGACTTGTTGAAAAAGATTTTGTTTAACTGTTTCTTTGTATACGAAAACTCGTTAATTCAAAATGGTTCACGATAAACAAATTTATTTTGGATATAAAATGCAGTATGAACTGTTATATTACTTTGGAAACAATTATTCATTATCTAAAACTACCAACATTATCCCTTTTGTCTATAAAAAAGAATAGAAAAATAAGGCATATTTGCAATGAAGAAATTAATTATACACACCTGATTATCACTGCTGGTAGTAGAAACCTCTCTTATGTTCGATGGTCTTTTTCTGTAGTAGGGAAACCTGTACAAATTCAAGAAAGGGGTATAGTGGAACATAATGAAGATCGCGCTATGTAGCGTATTTTTAATGGATAATTATGTAATCAAATATGGAGAAAGAAGATGTGGCACATTCTTCGTTGATAATTTTTTGAATAGAAGAACAGTGCAGATTTAAAATTAGCAAAAAAAAATGACACTGAAAAATTTCTAGAGAAGTCTTTGGATGAATGATTAATCTCTATTCTTACTAGTGTCTGGTTCCGCTGTCATGCTTTTTGCCATGTTTTTAGAGTGGTCCTCAAAAGAGGTCATCAACAAACTGAAGTTTTCTTCCAGGTGAAGGGTTATTCTATGCGTTTTATCGAGCATTTTTCCAAAAATGCAAGACGATTATTATAGTTGACAATGCATTGTTCACATGTTATAAAATGTCCCACTGGACTTTATTTTACATTTGAACCTTGAACAAAAGCATACATGAGATTTGGATCTAATGTCCTAGGTTCATGTTTTGTAGCACCCTATATATATATATATATTGTGACCAAAGATCTTGAAGGCAATAGTGTATTTATAATAAAACTCATCAAAGATACCAGGCTTATAATTTTGTACACCAGACGCGCGGATCGTGTTAAAAACTCATCAGTGACGCTTGAATAAAAAAAGTCAAAAGACAAAATCAAGTACGAAGTTGAAGAATATTGAGGAGCTTAAATTCCGAAAGGTTTTGACAAATAAAGCTAAAAGGATCTTATCCTTGGGAAGAAAATCCCTTATTCGAACAATAAGTTTTGTAAAGTTAATTTATATATATGACGATATCAATGATATTTCACAGATATAAACGATAGGTGCATATTTATCTTTGAAGTACAATTGGATTTGTTATTGAACATATTATTATAAAATATCGCATATATAGATTGCGTCTTAACCCTTGTCAACGAAGTTTAGTTTTCCAAACTTTTACGTGAAGGCGTACAACAGTGTAAAACAATTCAAACTTATTTTTGATAAATACACCAGAACTGAACAACACACATACATCTTAAGTTTGCCATTGGATCCAGATGAGAGGCTGTCAACGAAGTTTACTTTTCCAAACTACGTCTATCATCGTTCTCAATGGTAGTAGTCAGTTTAGTTGAATATCTCATCTCATGTTCAGTAATGTTCATCACTGTGGAATGAACATTGTGCATAAGCATTTTCTATGGCCGTGACTTCTACTAAGGCGTACAACAGTGTAAAAAAATTCAAACTTATTTATAAATAAATACACCAGGACTGAACAATACACATACATCTTAAGTTTGACATTGGATCCAGATAAGAGGCTGCGCCTAACTTCCTATGCAATCTAGAACATCTTTCTGTTATTTTGGCAGTTTTAATTTGAAGGATGATCATTCTTTTTTAAATCAATATTGTCATACCGACGACCGATGGTCGATGTTTTAAGTGGTTACAGATGAATTAAGGCGAAAGTAGTTTTCCGATGTTCAAAATATGCTGTTAGAAAATTTCTGTCTTCTTAAATATCAGGTATGGTCACAATTTTTTATAACAAATATCGAATGTCAAAAACTGTACATATCTTCAATCATTCAACAGTAAACAAACGTCATCTTTTAGATCATTGAGAAAATTATCATAACAAAACTTATCACATAGGTTTGCTATCTAGTATCGATTTTTCAATTCTAATATAAGAAATTACGTCAAAATGACAGGTTAATTTGTTATGGTGTTTACAAAATTTCCACAAACTCCACGATAAAGAAAAACATAAAATTAGCCGTCTATATTTACAATGTCGTCCTGGAATATAATAATTCTCAGATAGGTATTCAAAAGTATTTTAAAGGTTAAAACCTTTTTGCGTATAGGAAATATTTGACTTGTTGTAATGTGTGCTCTAAAAAGCCGTCAGATTCTTCAATTCATGCTGTTAAAGGTTCCGGTATAATGTATGTGTCAGTGATGATATCTGGCATCTTATTTGCTAGAAAAGGATGGATCCCAAGTTAGACGTCAGGTGTTTATATTTACATCCTTACCGAGTCTATATTTGCTCACAGGGTCATTGACTTTATTGCTACAAAGAACAAATATAAACTAGATCTTGAAAAAAGACCAACGACACATTGCAGTTAAGGAAAAAAGGAACCGGTACTTTTCCGCTTTCCAATCCAAAATGCTGAAATGTGATTGGTGTTTCGTTTAAAATCATCCTAATATGAATTTGATTAGTATTCATATTGAGTAAACCTTTATTGAAACACAACCTGTGATGAAAGACAACTTGGTTTGCGAGAAAAAGTTCCAGGGCTAAAGGTTTGTAAATCTAGAAAAACAATTACAAGGAAGAAGATAACATACAAATCATGTTTAACATTGACAGATGATGATGATGATGATGATGATGATGATGATGATGATGATGATGATGATGACGACGACGACGACGACGACGACGACGATGACGATGACGATAACTATGATGATAATGATGACTGTTGAATGTCTAATGGCAAATAAAATTCATATTCTGGGTAAGAGCATGCCAGCGTGATATCAATATGAACCATCTCTGTGTATCAGACCTACACGCTGGGTCGGATTTTTTACGTGCTAGCATACAAGGTAACAGTCTGCAAGAAGACATGTCACCCTACAACATTATTCTGAATCGGACCCGACCATTATTTACTCGAATTCCTAAATGTTGCATGCTCGGCAGAGAAGCAGCAAATACCAATCTTCAAGTATTTGGTTTGATATGGCCTGTGATATAGCAAACGGCCATCTTTAATCGAGGCGAATACGATACCACGAAAGTACAGAGACGGGTAACAGTAACAGAACACCGTGTAACAAGACTAATGTGTATCATGTCTGTGTTCTGTAAATCCACCACCTACAAGAAATACATTTTTAAAATGGTAATAGGGTGAATCAAACAATTGCTGTTTGGGTTGCTCCCCCAATTTTATCACTATGACGAAACTATAAACAATTGTCATACAAATTGGAGTTTAAGTTAGATATAAACTAAGTTTAACCCTCCATTTGCCCGTACCAAGTCTGGAGTATTACAGTTGTTTTCCGGTCGTTCCGTTGGTTGATATAATCGAGCGTTTGATTTTGTCATATTTAATGGACCAGCCTCTTTTTGAATTTACCTTGGAGTTTACTATTTTTGTTAATACTTTTTTACTCCCACTGGGTACAAATCACTGCTGGTGTACTGCTGGTCATTGGATATAAAAATCAGTGGGCAGAGCTTTTTTAATTACATTAAAATACATTATATTTGGTACCTGAAAAATGTTCTTTTGACAATTTGATGAAACATTTACTATATCAGGTTATCCTCCCGATAAATTGGCATTTCTCGTTCTAAATATGCATGAAATATTCACCACAGAATGTTGAGCATACAACAATCAATCACCATACATTTCTTAGTTGGTCTTGCCGTTGTTATCAGTGTTATTATTTAGGAACCTTGTTACTTAACTTTTGTGATCGTATTTGCAATGTTTCGATTTGTGAACCAATTACGAATAATTCATTTTGAAATGCGCATATTTTCATTTACTCATTATAAACAAGTGATGGTTTGTTGAATTTAGAGAATTACATAATATAAAATAAATGATAATTGGTATTATGACTGTTCTTTCTCTTCTAAGTGTGAAATTGATAAAATTAAGGTCAATTTTCTCACATCAGCTAGAGCATTAGTTTTCATTCCAATAGATATGCCTTGATATTACCTAGGTAACAACTGTGTTAATGTTGTGTTTTTAATTCACCATAACCGTGTTTGCAAAAACATTTTACTAACATGGAAAGTTCGATGTTCGCACTAAATTGTAAAGTTCTAAGTGTTGTGAAATTGTTGAAATTATAGTTATTTTTCTCCCACAAACCTGCGCATTAATTAAATTGTCATTCCAATTGATATGCCTTTATATTACCTAGCTAACAACTGTGTTGATGTTGTGTTTTAATACACAATAACCATGTTTGCAAATACTTTTAACTTGAAAGTTCATTCTTCGCACTAAATTATATAGTTTCAAATGCTTGCGATCTGAAGGGAAAGTATGTGGCTCTCTGTCACAATGTTGACGACTTTTGTTTACTTTATTTTGCCTTTTTTAGGGTTGGGGGGGTGGGGGGTGGCACTTTTCAAA